ACGTAGGATTGGAATAAGGTTCCCCATCCTCCTTCAATAACCTGTTGTAAGGAAGACATGGGGTATCACACGGTTTGGCTTCAATCATTTCAGATTTAACCAACAAATCCTCAACATATTTGGTTTGGGACAGGAACAAACCATGTGCAGTCTTAGTGATTTGAATCCCTAAGAAGTAGTGGAGTAGGCCTAAGTCCTTGATATCAAACTCAGTGGTGAGAGCACTAATGACCTGTGTAATTGCATCAGAAGCATTGCCAGTTATAATGATGTCATCCACATAGAGAAGCAACACCACAATTTCATGACCAACATGCTTAACAAATAGAGATGAGTCAGAATATGTGTTCTCAAATCCCAAAGAAGGAAGAAACTGAGTAAAGCGGTCATTCCAGGCCCGAGGAGCCTGCTTGAGACCATAGAGAGATTTAATCAGCTTACACACCAGAGAAGGATGATTTGGATCTTCAAAACCTGGAGGTTGAGACATGTAGACCTCCTCTTGTAGAAGTCCATGCAAAAACGCATTTTTAACATCCAACTGGCGAAGAGACCAATTAAACTGAGCAGCCAGAGCAAGAACTAACCGTACAGTAGTAGGTTTCACTACAGGGCTAAAAGTCTCCCCATAATCCAATCCGGGTTCTTGACTGAAGCCCTTAGCAACTAACCGGGCTTTGTGTCTTGCAATAGACCCATCTGAGTGTCTCTTAATCTTGAAAATCCATTTACAGCCAACCAGGTTCTTGTTTGCTGGTAAGTGAACTAGACTCCAAGTGCCTTGAGCATGTAAAGCATTAACTTCTTCTTTCATGGCTGCTAACCACACAGGTACTTTGATGGCAGACTTATAACTAGCTGGTTCCACCAAGGATAGATCAGTGCCCCCAGAATCCTGAACACTGGCTAAGAGAGCCTTCTTTTTGAAAATCCCACTTTTGCTTCGGGTTTGCATAGGATGCAAATTAAGTGGAGGAATGGGCAACACTACTGACAGAGTATCAGGATTAAAAATAGGTATTTCTGATGCAGAAGTGGAACTAATATCAGGTACCACAGGGATCTGAGAAGAGACTTGGATTGGAGCAGTAATGGACTGAGAACTTGGAGAGACTTCAGGTAAATCCAAGGCAGAAGGTTGATGAGGTGATTCTGGGATAAATGAGACAATTCTATTTTCGGGAAGTAACTATAGGGGCATGACAATTGAAACTAGGAGATGGATATACAACTCTATGTGCAGTGGAAACTGTGTTGGAAGATGCAGTCAATAAATCTGTGTAGGGAAAATGTTGTTCATCAAAGATAACATGCCTAGAAACAAACACTTTCTTTGTAGACACATGATGATAGCATAGATAACCTTTATATTTTGTGGCATACCCTAGAAACACACACTTTGTGGTTTTTGCTTGTAGTTTGGTACTATTATAGGGTTTGAGAAGGGGAAAACAAGCACATCCAAAAATTCGAAGATGTGTAAGTATTGGATATGTCCCAAATAGGATCTCAAAAGGAGATGGGTTATGAAGGACAACAGTAGGCATTCGATTGATGAGATAGGTGGCTGTTTGACAAGCATAAGACCAGAACTGATGTGGCAACTTGGCTGTTTGGAGCAGTGTGATAGTGGTTTCAATGATATGTCTATGCTTCCTTTCAGCTACCCCATTTTGTTCAGGGGTATAGGGACAAGATAATAATGATGTGAAATGCCTTTGTCAAGAAGAAAATGTTTCAATTTGAGACTGGTATACTCTCCCCCCCCATCAGATTGAAGAATTTTAATTGAGGCAGAAAACTGAGTAACAACAAAGGAATGAAAAGCAACAAACGTAGAGAACAAATCAGACTTGTTTATTAAAGGGAAAATCCAGCAATATCTGGTACATTCATCTATAAAGATGGTGTAATATCTATAACCATCCACTGATATACATGGTGCAGGACCCACAAATCTGTATGAATAGTTTCAAAAGGAATGACTGACTTCTTGACATGCTTTGGAAAAGGGAGCTTGCTAAATTTGCCTTCTAGACAGGTATGACATAGCATAGGTAACGAGGATTTGGGAACAGGTACATTAGATTGATGCAACATCAGAGAGACAACATTATTTGATGGATGACCTAACCTATGGTGCCACAAATCAGATTGAACAAGTTGTCCAAGAAAGGCCTTAGCTTGATTATTCTTCTGGAAATTGGAAGTGGACAAAGAGTGGATAGGATATAGCCCATTACTGCACAAGCCTTTGTAGAGGATCCTCCCTGTGGTTTTGTCCTGAATCCAAAAACAAAAAAGCATCAAATATAAGCCAGCAATTATTGTCAAGGCAAATGCGATGTACTGACAACAGGTTCTGAGTTAATTGAGGAACACAGAGCACAGAGGTCAATTTGATTGGAGAAACTGATGTATGAATAGTAGAATGACCAACATGAGATACTTTCAAACCTTCCCCATTTGCAGTGTGAATTGTTTCATTTGATGGATATGGTGATGCCAGGGACAGATTAGTCAAATCAGCTGTCATATGATTGGTGGCCCCAGAGTCCGTGAGCCACACTTGAGAAGGACCTGAAGAACTGGATGACTGAGGTGCAGAGTTGTGCACTGTGTGTGCATGGCTTGCATAGGGGGTTGCGGTGCATGAAACTGAGAAGGTGTGAATGAGGAATGCTGAGGAGGAGCTTGATAGGAATTATACTGAACAGGCGGTGGTTGCATAACATATGATGACTGTGGAAACACAGAAGAAGGGTTATGCATTCCCATGTAATTGGGACCCTTATCATTATGGAAGCAATACCAAGTGGTATGGTTACTTCGACCACAAATGTGACATTTTGTTGGCTCATGTGAAGAGGCTCCACAGAATGGGCAGTATGTCCCGCAGAATTGCACAACTGACAAATGTGAGGCATGGGTGCAGAAGGACGACCAAACGGTTGACCAGGAGATGGACCAAGAACTCCAGGATTAGAGGTAGGAAGCATATGTGCCATGGGGGAAAACACTGGTCTAGAGTTATAAAATCTCGAGCCCTGATTGAAACGACCTTTGCCCTTGTTCTTGTTCCCATTATAGGGTCTAAAGCCTCCAGTGACTGCCTGAGATTGACCATGATGAGGAGAGAAACCCTGAGACTGAACCGAAAGCCCCTTTTGTGTAAGTGGAACCTGTATTAGCAACCATAGCTGTCAGAGAGAGGATTATGTACTGAATTATCAACAATGATTTCCTCTGCAAGTAACTGTGACCGAAAATCTTTCAGTGAAATCACACTTTCACGCCCCCTGATAACACACCGGAAAGTGTTATACTCAGCAGGTAAACCATTCAAAGCAAGAATAACAATGTCTTCATCCGCAAAAAAGACCCCAGCAGCAGACAAATAGTCTCGAGCTTCCTTAATGCGATGAAGATATTGAGAAATCGAATCGGACCCTTTTTAATAGTTTGCAAATTGGATTTCATCTGAAAGATGCTAGTCCGAGAAACAGTTGAAAATTGTTCCTTTAACCTAAAACCACAGATCCTTGGAGCTAGTACTACCAATCGCACAAGACATGGCAATAGGAGATAAAGTAGCAGTAAATCAATTGCATAATAGCTCGGTCATGCATTTTCCATACTATATATTCATCATTCAGAGAAGAAGAAGAGATACCAGATTCACCGGATGACGAAGCATATTGAGATGGACAGGCAATCGAACCATCAACATACCCCATGATGCCATTGCTATCAAGCAAAGTTGCATCTGGAAGTGCCAATTGAGATAGTTCGAATCATCAAGCTTGACATTAACCGACGTAGAAATGGAGGAAATCAAGCCCGTAATTGGAGATTGAAGGAGTTGTAGTTGTGAAGCAGTCACCATCGTGAATTCAAGATCAACTTGTCAGTGAGACAATACAACAAACACAAGGTGTGCAGAATTGAGCACGTACCAAAAAGAGCAAAAAGAACGATAGGAAACCCTAGAAATTGCAGAAATGAGAAATAGAAGAAGACGAATTCGGATCAAGAAAGAAGAAAGAAACCAATCCGAATCAGAGAAGGCGGAAGCAACAGAGGATCGTATCTTCAAGCGTAAGCAACAATGGCGATTGATACCATGTTAACCTATATCAGATGATTAACATATACTGTAATCTTGTATACTGAATCAAGAACAGAGAAGAAAGAAAGAGAGACTCGAGAGAAGTTTAGGAAGAGAAGAACTATATGTTGTATTTCTTACTGATTAAGTAATTACATGATGAGTTCTTATATATATACTATTACATATAACAGCTAACTAACTAACTATACTAGGATTGTGACAAGTGTCACAATATTAAAACACTATACTCTAACAGGTGCTATCTTTGGAAATCTGAGATACCCTTGAAAACTGCTCTCCAACTGCTCGACGAATTACCTGTATGGACATTGGGCTAGGTAGCTGCTAACTTCGTACTTTTGTATGCATTGTTATGAGCATTTGTCGATATGCTCACTAGGCGTACATTAGCATATGCTGACATGCTCACTAAAAAACCATTGACATTAGTTGACATGCTCGTTCGGAAGTTGTTGGCATTTGTTGACAGGTGCGGAATATGACTTGATAAATGACCCCGGGCCTACCAGAGCTTGATGAAATGCTAATTTTCATGTGATTTCGTTCAAAAAGTTATACACGCTGCTCGCGCTAGTCTTACTGAGGCCCCAAAATAATATTTCTTGAATCTGCCAATGCCTACTGTTTGATAACAATTATGGTCATTTAACATTTGTTGTTACTTTCTCTTCACAGGTAAATTAAAAATGAACAATGATTTCCTTAAAGCTTGGACTTTAGAAGAACTGGACCCATGCAACTCCGGTGTAGTTTAGACTTCAGATCATTGCTACAATTTGCCGTGTTTCATTTCTTGATATGCAATTCCATGAAACCACATTTTTTGTTACTGTGTCTCATTGTCACCAACAAAACAAGGATGGTAGCCTTGCAAATATAACCCAAAAATAGGCATTTATTCAAATTATTAGAAAATCCAGCAGGAGATTACCAAAAAAAAACAAAGGAAAAAAAAAAAGATTAATCTCAACAAAGAAATTAACATGAAATCTCTCATCAGAAAAATTATTACACCATAATACACACAAAAGCACTACAACGAATGAAATAAAGCAAAAGATGTAATCCACCTTACCATCATTATCTCAGCTACAAATCAGTCAACATATCCTCCAAAAAATAGTCATCTATCGAGCCGAGCCCACTAAGCAATTCATCAGAAAACTCAATATCCTTGTAAATATTGGAACTCGGATTCAACTCCGTTCCCTTCGACGACGTCGTCATGCCCTCCTCCTCCTCTTCTTCCTCCTCATCATCATCATCCTGCTCCATAGCTGTCACAACCTTACTCCCACCACCACTCTTCTCGTCCTCAACCGCCGGCATGTGCCGTTCGAACAACGCCATGTGTCCGAACAGCTTGCTCTTCCTCGAGAAGCTCGTGCCACACGTGCACCGCCACCTAGCCTCGCCACAATGCTTCAAGTGGCTCTTCAAATCCGCCACCACCGAGAAGCTTTTCTTATTGCACCTGTTACACGAGTACATTTTTGGGCAGTGGCTCCTCTTGAAGTGATTCTTCACGCAAATCACCGATTTTAACGGCCGGAACTTCCCGTGCTCCTTGTTCCGGTTGCACCCGACGTACGGGCACGAGAACCGGGAATTCCGGCTCGACTGGGCCGGGGTCTTATCCGGTTTGGCCAACGCCTCGGGGGTCTTGAACCGGTTCCCGTGAGCCCGCATGTGCATTCTCAAATTCGCGTCTCGCTTGAACCCCTTCCCGCAAATCTCGCAGTAATGGATGTGCTCCGCCAGCAGCTCCATCGCGTCCACCTCCACGATCTCACCACCGTCTGCGTCATCCTTACCGCTATTGTTCTCTTTTACCTCTTTCCTGACCTCGGGAACCTCGATTTGAGCGGCAGGTGTTCGGGTCCGGTCGGATGAGGGTATCGGGTTCTGAGAGAGAGCCAACAGAGCGGCGCCGTTTGAGATGATTTCGTGGATGGCGGAGGCGATGCCGGCGGATACCATATCCATCTGGTCCTTGCTGACTAGAGCGTTGGCGTGGATTGAATCGGTGAGGAAGTACTGCAGGGAATCCATTCTTGTTCGGACCATCGAGAGATTCCGGAGCGGGATTACCGGGTCGGTGTCCTCATTCAAAGACTCGACGGAGCTCTCCAGCGGAGTATGAAAAGGTTGACGCGGAAACGACATAGTGCGGACACAATCACAATCTCAACCCTCAAGACCCCAAGAGTTTCTTTTTGTCAATACTTCGTTGTTAAGTGCCGCGAAGCACGAGCAGAAATCATCACAAAGAACGGGGCCATCGAACAGGTGGCAAAGGTGGGGCCTCACGGAACACGTGGCAAAGGTCGGTCATGTGGAACCGTTGAATGAGGCGGGGAAATGTGGTATTATTGGTTTGGACCAGGATCCTCCTGACCAAACTCATCTGACCGTTCATTTTTTATTTAACAGCTACAAACAACGGATCTTTCTAAAAATTATAATAATTATAGCCGTTACATAAAAACTGAACGGCCCGAAGGGCCTGGTCAGGAGGATCCTCTCCACCTATTGGTTTTGGGTGCTTCAGTTAAAGTCTGTACTTTGTGGTATAGAATGGAGGTAGATTCTGTGCTCTCCCACTTCTCGTGCCCTTCTGTTTTGTGTAGTCACAATTAAGTTAAATCAATATTTTATATTATTTTTTTATAAAGAAAATAAGATAAAAAGAAATAGTAATATAAAATATTGACGTTACTTAATCGTGATCATATAAACAGCAGAACACAAAAAGTGGAAGGGCAGAGAATCTGCCTCTGTATAAAATACGATGCGGAAGCTAAGAAGCTTCGTTTTCAATATTATATGTTATAAGCTCATTGCATCTGGTGAAGTGCTTTATTGGCCAAGACACATCCAAACCCTCTGGATTCTGGAAGCTTTCAATACCAGGTGCTAATTCGAGGGACGCTTTAAAAAAAAAAAAAAAAACTTTCTTTTAAATGTATGAGTAGCCTCTTCGCACGCACTCGTGCGTGTGAGAGGCATTTTTGCATCACGGGCACTATGCGCGCCTAAAAGTGTATTGTGCTGCGCCTAAAAGTGTATTGTGCTAGTTTTTTTTTTTTTTTTTTTTTTTTTCATTGTAGTTGTCAAAATATATTTTAAATGTATTGTGCAAAGAGGAACTTTTTCTTTACCATGCACGTCTTAAAAAGTTGTCATGTTTTTCGTTTTCACTTTGCGTAAAATAATGATTTAAATGTTATCGGATGAAAAATTAAACAAAAGAAAAATCAAAAGTTTCTTAACAAAACATGCTTAGGGACGGACGGGTAATAGGTTGTTGATACAAAGAAAAAGAGACAAATTTTATCCACACATCACTATACTATAAAAGAAGAAAAGAAAATGATCACAAAGTACTTTTTTCTTGGCAACTTCGGGAACAGAAAGAAGCAGGATACATAAGGGCAAAACAATCTTCTTACTTTTACATAAAAGCAAAAGAACTGGTATTATATTAGTATGGCTGGGGAACAAATCCAATTGGAAGTTTATATGTGACTATAATCATAAGCAAAGTTTGGAATTCACAAAAATTGCTGGGCAAATACTAAGACTGCCATTTCAAAAAGTTACAACAAATAACTTTGACAAATTAACAAAATAACTTTGACAAATTAACTACAACTAAATTTAGATGACATTCGACATATGAAGGCATATGAAAAATCAAGAACTCCATCCTTTCTTATGTGCGATACCAAAAATTGGAAATAGTATGAGAACCTGCAATTGGTGTAATGAAGATTTCACACACCTTTTGACGAACGGGGGTGGAAGTTTACAACGTCACTTGACTTCATTTCTACTGCAGACTAGGTTAAGCACAAACACAAAAATTCAAAATAAAAATTGATTTGAAAAATAGATAACTTTGTATGGCACAACCCATAAGAAAATAGATATGAATTAAGAAATGGATTTGGAGGCTTTACTCGATGACCTAATTGAGAACTAAAAAGATATTGCAAGCTCTTCTTCACGTCGCACATAGCCTGCTGTGAAGTAGAGCTTTTAGCATGGGTGATGTGAACAAAAGAATCATGCACACTCCGTTTTTTATATAAAATTCATTGAATCTAACTAACTAATGCCGTCAATGTACCATACTAATTAGTAAGTAAGTCAATAAACTACCATTTGAGAATAAATGATTCAACTGTTGTCATCCAACATTTTGAAAACCTCTCAATGGAAGATAAATTTTCCAGAGCTTGAAGTGATTTTTCAAAGTCAAATCCTTCTTCGTAAATCTGCAAAGAAACAAAGAGAATAAAAAGAGTGAATCGACACATTTCTACAAATTAAGGTTGATTGCAAGATTCGTGCAATCAGAAACTGAAATATCCAATAATATAAGAAATAACAAAAACGTTGTAACGCAATAATGGAAGTAACTAATATCCAGCCATGTGCTATTAACATGTTATGAATATGAGAGATTCGCATCAGAATTACCAGTGGAACAATTACCAAATGGCTGTGAACAATGAGCCGGTGTAAATACAACTCTTATATAGGCTAAATGAATAATGAGATTGCTGTAAAACCCAAATAAAAGGAGTTTATGAAGGGACCAATTATGACGATTTAGGAGAGGGGATTCGGTTGTTGCCTGTGAATTGATATGATAAAAAAGATAGAGACAATAGAAACGAAAATACCACTCAAACACCCAATGGCATTGAGATCCTTTGTAAATGGGATGAAAAGCCTCATCACCTCTTTATGCTGCAATTCAAAAAAGCACTATCAGATCTCGGAATTGAGTCGCAATAGAAGAATCTAGGGGACAAAAAAATTTCCCAAATAAATGAAAACTGCAAAAAAAGAAGGAAACAAAAATAATATTTGAATACGTGAGATGATTGAAGAACTAATGGAGGAAGAAAATGAATGGAGTTTTACGTTGGCCAAAGGTGAAGAGGGAGGAGCGGAGTTTGATGCAAACTGGCACGGGCAGTTGTGAAAGAGTGGGAACGTGTTGTATCGGTTGTGAACAAGTGAGAACTGTTCTCAAACTACCCTTTGGGATGATGAGTTTGGTTTTTTTACCAGTTTGTCCTTAATTTTTTTTTTTTTTGGATTTCAATTGTGAAGAAAATAAAGGGCCTTTCTTGGCATTTCTGAATGCTTCACCAAACTGGTCTTCTCCCTTTATATATATAGATAATATGAAGTGTTTTCTTCTATGTTTAAAGTACATTAAAAAATTTCTTTCAGATAATCTTGAGTTTTTTTCTTTTTTTTTTTTTTAACAAAAATAAAATCAAAAGTTAAATTTAAACTTTAAATGTAACTGAACAGACACAATATCCTACTCGATTAACATAATCCACATATGCATAGATAACGTGAATTCTTGCATGAATGATGAATGTGCATATCGTATCATGTTTTTACTTTTTTGAATCATGTGATATGCCATGTTGTAAACACGTTTAACCGTTAGATGCGGTACTCCAGAAAATTTTAGTGCTTTTTTTAACGGAGGCAGATTCTCTGTCCTCCCACTTCTGTTGCCCTGCCGTGCTTTCCTATTTTGTGTGGTCACGGTTAAGCCATGTCAATATTATATATATATATATATATTTTATAGAGATAATAAGACAAAAAAAGAATAGTAATATAAAATGTTGACTTGACTTAACCATGACCACACAAACAGGAGGGCATGGGAGGGCACAGGAAGTGGGACAGCAGAGAATCTGCCTCCCTTTTTAACAGGGCATCAACATGCCAATGGCGTTCTTCAATTGGATCCTGAAGAAGCAGGCTCGTATCTCAGTACATTATTTTTCTTAAAATATACTTATATTTGTCATTATTGATAGTAAATTATATGAGGATAGTACTATTCACACATCTATTTTTACTTTTTACACACTCTTCTTAGTTTTTTATTTTCGAATAGAATGAATTGAAAAAAAATCAATAGCTAAAATTTAATAAAAGTGTGTAGGAAAATAAAAATAAGTGTGTGATCCATTATACAAAGGATATATGATGGTGTATTAATATTTTACTCCAACAATAGGGCAAGAAGCACACCAACCAATGAGGGGAAATGGAAAAAGTTATGCGCAGTTAATCAAATTTGAAGGCAAATAATTTAGGAAGATATTGCTTACCAGTTTTGAGCGACACTTCCAAGTTCCAAGGACATGGTGGTCGATGATTCCACCTACAAAAACTATCTAATTTTTAAAAGGAATATTTTATTTGAACTAATATGACCTCACTTTACACTTACACTTATATTATTTTTACATATTAATTTTAAGAGAGCATAAGTAATAGTAAGAATTTTATTATTCGATTAAATACATTAATTATATAGCTAGTACTAAATAAAAATACAATAGTAATAACAGAAAAATTACATATATTTCAATTTGAAAATACAACGTCTAATCTAATTTTTAATTACAATACAATTCATTCAATTATGATTTAATTTCATTTAACGAAAACGTTGGAATTTGAATCCTCCTATTTTTAAACAAGTTTTGCAATGGTCATCAATTTGAATGGTTTCCTAAAAATAAGCCGGATTATAGGATTGAAATTAACCTTCAAGCTCTTGTACGAAGTGAATAAAAATAGGTTATTATGATTTCAAATAAGAAAGCCGTTATAGTGAAATCAGTAGACACACTGCTTTTACGAAGTCCTACAAGATTCATTCGTTCTCCTCTAATAGATGGTTAGAACTTCATTTGGGTTTGAACCCTACTAAGAAGTCATTGCTACGAGATCAACAATTGTTTGATGAAAAAACAAGATGTTCTTTTTGTGCCTTTCAAGCGATTGGAAAATAAAGAAATAATTAACGTATCCAAGATAATTACATATGTTTTCGTGTTCCAACAATATTTCATCAATTGACATTATTTAAGAGATTAACAATTGATCAATCATTTCGCAAATTCGACATACTTGAAATATCTTAACAAATTCCAGAACTATCATAAAATTTCATTAAATATTCAATAATCTTTCAAAAATTTTCTTTTAAACCCAAATGATTCAACTTTGAACTATGCTTTCCTTCACAAAATAACCGAAAAAATTTTTAAATATTCTTACAGAAATACTTTAAAAAACAGTTTCTATACATCTCTTAAATCATCCAGTGCTTCAAAAATATGTCCTACCCAACCAACCGAATACGTCGTCGGATCTCCA